GAATTCACGTCGCCTCCAAACAGCTGCGAAACTTCTTGAATGAAGTCATCCACAGATAGCTACCTGGAGGTCAGTACTCTTGATCTGCAAGACCTCCCACATCGAGCAGCTACGGCAACGTCGCTACGGTCTAGGACATCATCTTCACCGTATTCGCCGAGGCGCGAGTTGATGGTATGGACCGGGGTACCTGGAAAGGGGAAGACCGATATTTTCTTTGTAGACCCCGACTGAAGGTGAGCGCTGGCGGTTACATCAAGTAACTCGAGAAGAATATCCTCCCTACATGTGGTCGCCCGTACCTTCTTGGAGACCTTGTGCTGCTACAGGTTTGGGTGCCACCACATGGAATCAAAGGGTTTTGGAAAAACTCCCGCCTACTTGGAATGGAAGAACGTTGAGTACCTGGAAAAGATGGAGTATTTAAGCGGGGGTCCTGAACTAAACCCCCTCAATTACTCGGTTCGGGCGGAGCTCAACAGGGTGGTCTACAGTGGCGGAGAAATCAACGATCTCGCTCAACTCCGGTACCCACTCACTTTCGCGCGGCCGAATCTCTCGATGGCGCTCCTCCAGAAGGCTGTGGCGGAGTATCATTATAGTATTTAATGTGCTCTTTAATATGGTAGTAAAAATGTCCGATAAAAATTTAATAAAGTGTAACTTATAGCGCCTTGAAAGTCATGGAGGCAAAATGACTTTTTTTTGGCCCCCCCTGTATATAGGATGTTAGCAATAGTTGGCTGAGTTGTTCCGCAATCAGGAAAAAAAAATCATTCTAGTCCTTCCCACACCCTTGGCTTCACATCGCAATTACTCTGCATTTTCAGATCCATGTTTGCTGTTTTCTAGGCCTGCGCAATCAAATCAAGATGACGTCCAAGCTTGCGTTGCGTCAGCTAGAATTGTTAGGCGACGAAATCCACATAGACCCAAGCGCTGGCAAAGGTCCCTCAGTAAAAGCGGTGGATTCATTTGATCTAGAGCGCGTTCAGACTTCGCACGGAAATCGCGCGATCGGATTCGCTTGGATTCGCGCGAATCGATCGCGGGCGATTGATCGCGCCGAATTGGATCGCCGCGATCGATGCGCGATGGATCGCGCGAATCGGATCGCGCCGATTGCGATCGCGCGATCGGATCGCGCGATTGGATCGCGCGATCGGATCGCGCGATGGATCGCGCGATCCGATCGCGCTACTGAGGGTGAAATTACTGCGGGAGGGGGTCATGTTCGTTCATGTTCAACTCAACTCAACAAACAACAACAACAAAGTTCTGGGAAGGGAGCGTACTAATATCACCAT